GACCTCCTAGCTGTCAGGTGCAGATCTGCATTTCACCTGATGTCACTGGCTGGTCCCTCCTCCTCCTGAGATGCAAACATGCCGCCAACCCAGCTGTGACTAGGATGTGTATGCATGAGGGAAAACTGTTTGAGAATTAGATATATAAACATCCACTTCTTAGAAATGTCTCTCACATCGAGTGTAGTGCCACACACCGACCGACTGACTGATAGTGAGAAAGTCCGGAGTTGAATAAGCTGTAATATTATGTATGATAGTTGATCTCTCATGTTTTCATTAATAATATACAATGACTGTGTTACAGTTCTGAGAGAGAAAATTTGAAAGTAAGGCAACGATAGCCCTAGGTAGGCATTTTTTCTTTTTTTTCTTTCTTTTTCTTTTCTTTTCTTTTTTTTTCTTTTTCTTTTTTTCTTTATCTTTTTTTCTTTTTCTTTTTTCTTTTTTTGTAAATGGATGGATAATATCCATGCATTCTTGATTTATTCAAAATTATTTTTGTGATGGGGGTTAGATCTGAATGTTGTATTTAATAAGGAGCTGGGGCCGTAGTGGAGACTGGAAATGAGTTCTTGAGTGAGGGTGCCTTGTGGCTGAAGGCTTGTGCTTGTCTTTGGACTAGAGGCAGGTCTGAGAGATCTACCATTAGACGAAATACATTGGCAGCAATCAAACTTTGTCCTTTCTTTGCTTCATTTCTTGCCGTCTATTGTGGCGTTTGTGAAGCTGCATGCTTCACCAGAACTATTAAGCATTATCTGGCAATGAGGAGGACATCCTGCCTCAAAGGCTACATCATTTCCTGGCTTAAATTGAATCTTCAGCCAACACCCTAACAATGGACAGGACAGTTTTGTTAGATACAAAGGAAAAGCTGGCAAGAACCAGCAGTTCAACCAAGAAGGAGGACAGTCACAGAATCACCCACACTGTATATATATATATATATATATATATATATATATATATATATATTTGTTTGCTTTAGTTTTATTTCTCTTTAGACTCTGATTATCTTTATAAATATATTTTAGTCACTGGCTATTTTCCTTTGAGGTAATGGCTAACGATTTTGATCTTCCATGAATGTCCAAAACTTTGTTCTTGCAGATGACAAAGCCAGGCTTGCTAAATATTTTCAGTGCCCCCTTGTGAGGGTTATGCTTAAGGAGCTTGTTTGGCAGTACATTACTACTGTATAATAAGTTTGCACCTCACTGACTGTCCAACACTTTTGTTCTCGCAGAAGACATAGCTAAACTTATCAAATTTTTTGAGTTCTTCCTCGTTGAGTTATGGTTAACGAGTTACTCAAGCAAGCCATTACTATTGTGTATTAATTAATAGTTCTTACTGGGTGTCACACTTGTACAAATCTAAGTTTTATTTTTTTCTTTTGTTTTAACTTGATAGGCAGAAAGAAAAAAAAAAAATTAAAATACTTAAACTAGTATTAGTTGGGTTCATGCCTTTCAAAATTAACCACCATGAACAGAATTTAAACTTTTCAATTTTTTTGCATAACATATCCAGCACCAATGTGTTTTTTTTTGGGGGGGGGTAGTAGAAAAATGGAATTTCCCCAGAGAATATACAGCATTGCTGGAACAATTTATGTAGAGAACAAAATGGAGACAAGGTGCAAATTTCAATGAGGGGATGTCATGCAATTAACCTTATTTGGCACCTAGCAGATAAAGTAACACCTTAACATCATTTGTTGTTGGATAGAAAACGATAGGAAAATTATACCAGATTTTTTTTTTGTGCCTTCTTAAATGCCATGTCCATTCAGAATAAGGTCAATCATGTTTCTCCACAGCTTTCTTTTCTTTAATATCTGTGAAATGTCTTCTGAAGGGATAGTGGTTTCCCCTTTACCTCCTCCACGGACTTCAATTCAGAAGAGTCTTTCTTTTAGACTTGCTGCTACTCAGAGCTTGGTAGCATAGTCTACCCTACTATTTAACCTATAACTGGAGAGCAAGAAGAAATGGATTTATGCCTTCACTAATCTAAATTGAGTAAATCCCTAAAATATATGCTAGCAAGTTTAACTGACATTACAACGGTTATAGTAGTTTCTTTTTTATGTTTTTGTGTGCGACATACAAATTTAGTTAAGGCTCATATTTGTAAATTATATAAATTATGAAAAATTTAAAATGCTATCATCATGTTTGTAATAATTGTACCCATCTGCTTATTAATTTAATAAAAAAAACTTTCACCCTCTGCTTTTATTCCATCTCTTTTCTTGCTTATTTATTTTTGTGGAAACTTATTAAGAAAAAAATTTCAATTCTAAAAAAAATTATTCCCGATAATTGTGTAATCGATTTCATCAAGATTCTAAAACTTCATTCAAGTTATAATTCATTCATTTCCAAAGATTCGTTCGAATATTAACAAAACAATATAATATTTTGGTCATGTAATCGGCAGTTCTTTCCTCACAAGAATTAAACAACGATGCAGTGTTTCATGACGGAATACAGCTAGCGTGCTTGACGAGTGTGAGACTGCGACATTATTCATGCCTTTTCCGTAATCAGTTCATGGCTTTCTACAACAACGCACGACAATCAGTGAAGAAAATAATAGCAAATGAAGGCCTTTAGAAACAAAGGCATTGTAAGGTTTCGTTTATATATTTGTGATAAAAATGTTTATACTACAGAAGAAAATTGTTTTAAATTCTCATTAGATTACGACACACGGTTCCTTCATTGAATTAAACTAAATTCTAGATTAGTCCTATCCAACTCCTGTGATTTTTTTTTTTTTTCAAACTCTCATTTATTTGATTTTGAAAAAAAAAAAAAAAAATCTCCCCTCCTTTTCATTCAAGAGTGAGAAAGTACATAGACACGCATAATGTGACTTTTACACGTTCTTGTTGATAGAGGACCAATGTCCCATTATTTTTCTTCTTTCTTTCAGTCTCTTATCAATTTCTCCCATAATGTGACAAAATATATTAGTCATTCATGATAGAGGAGCCCATGGGCCCTTTTCTTTTGTTTTCTCTCTTTTCCGACTCTATTTTGAAGTAATCATAATTTTATAAGATTTTTTTTTTTTTTTTCTCCAATCATTTCACCCCAAGCAAGGCAATAACGCCACTAAAACACAGAACAGTGAAAAATAATATTCAGGAGACTTTAGAAGGAATTGGAAACCTGATCCTAAACAGAAAACAAGAGATAAACCTTTAATCCTGTTCAAAAGGCCAGGAAGGAGCATGAACCTGGCGATAGGCAAACCTATCTACTCCTATTGCGAGAGAAAAAAAATAATTTGTAAATAAAATTTCAGAGCTCAGTCGGAGACGTTAGAAGTACATAGTTGAAGTAGACTTTAGAAGGAACCGGAAACCCAATCCTAAACAGGAAACAAGGGATAAACCTCTACTCCTCTTCTAAAAGACTGTGGAGGTGTGTGAACTGGACAATCGGCGAATCTATCTACTCCTATTTTGGAGGAGTGAAAAAATAATTAGTGAATAAAATTTCAGAGCTCAGTCGGGGGCGTTAGAAGTATAGAGTTGAAGAAGACTTTAGAAGGAACCAGAAACCCAATCCTAAATAGGAAATTAGGGATGAGTATCTACTCTTTTATAAAAGATGCAGGAGTGTGGAACAGAAAGATTGTTTTGCACTGAGCTTCTCATCAAGGAACTTTACCGACCTTAAAAATGAGTATTTGAAATACTCTACATTTTCCTTTTTTTTTTTTTTTTTTTTTTTTTATCGGTTTCACCCCATCCAAGAGGCAGAAAAGCCCCTATGACACAAGGGATTACTGAGTGTGGAAGAATTAAAAACAGAAACATTAATAATGAGTTGGAAGAGAAAAGAGTAATCAGATAGTGATTGACATTGCAGATTTGATGGCATATAAGATCAGGCTCGTCGTCAGTCGGTGTTTTGAGAAAGGGCACAAGTAAGAATTTGCACACTGAAATGACTTCCCATCATTCACCCCCCCACATACACACACACAACTGAGTGATTGGCATCGATATTGACTGATACTTTTTTCCATCAAAATAATAACATTTTATAAATTATTAATAAATGTGCAAAAAGAAACTTGCTTTCTGAGCCAAATAGAGAATATAAATGCTTAAGATTCCTATATATTCCTTGCTTAAAGGAACAGTGGTAATGCCTGTGGGTCTTATGCGCCATCAAATACAGCACTTGCTCCTTCACTGGGAAGCTCAGCAGAGCCGAGGGGTTTCAAATGAATATTAGGCTCGGACCTCAGAGGCCATCCCCCAAGGCATATTATATCTCATTCAAGCAGGAACTGGAGTTATTACCCAGTGCCTGAGGCATCCCCTTAAGGGTAATTGACAAGGGCACTCGAGCAATTTTTGTACGGCGACCAAATCCCACTTTAAATTTTGACCTTGTGTCACATTCTTTGCGAGTGGGAGCATGTAAAAAAAAAAATAAATAAATAAATTAAATGCAACTATTTTTACCACCAGGCAAGTCCTTGTGCCCATTAGCGAGAAATTCTTTTTTGTTTAATCAGAGCAGAGAGAATGTTTAATCTTTCGTTTAAACAGAACAAAGTCTTTTTATTTGAGAATTCTTAACCACATCTGAATTACCATTGATTTTGATCTTCACAAAATACTCTATATTCATGACCTTGTGTCAGACGGATACACTCTGTTTAATTATGATCCTTAGGTTGTGCCTATTAGCTAGAAATTCTTTATTTTTAGTTTTTAATCATGGCAAAGAAAATGTTCAGTTTTTCGTTTAACTTTATCTTAAAATACAGAACAGTCTCTCTCTCTCTCTACTAACGACATTTGAATGACTATTGATTTTTGATCTTCACAAAATGCTCTATATTTGCGGCCTTATGTCAGACGGATAGACTTTGTGCTTAATTAGGATTCTCGGCTCTTATTAACGCATGGGACCAAAAAAAAGCAACTTTATGTTGATATTTGTAAGATCAGACGTGTTTACCTAATGAGCCACGGTTTTTGTTTGTCTTTCTTTCTCAGTAAGCCCCCCTCCTCAAATGTTGACTGTTACTCTTTCTTTATCGTTTTTTCTCTTTTGTTATCTTATGCTGTCCATGTTTTGTGTTCACTCATGGCTAGGCTGAAACGACGGTGTCCATTATTCTTCTTCCTTCTTTATTTCTTTCGTTTTTTGTTTTTTTTCCTGAGTCGTCTTTCCTTCCTCTCTTTAAGAAGAGTTCTACCAAACCAAACCAGACCCCAACCTGCTTGGCTGGCTGACTTGACTGGCTCTGTAGTTACGATGATGACGACGATTCCAACCTTGGCTATCGTGCTGTCTCCATTGATAGAGAAAGAGTAGTAAAAAAAAAAAAAAACCCCGAAAGATGATGATGAAGAAATAAGAGGAAGTTCGGGGCTGGGTGGTTAACAGGGTATCTGTTGTTGGTTGCTTTGATGGATGGGAGATTGACTATCGACTAACTCGTCCGTTTCCTCTTTAGTTAGGTTAAAATCAGAAGCTATACGTCAGTGCCATGCCAAGCATGGGTCTGCCCGAGACTGTAGCTACAAGAGCCAGGGTCTGGTGCTGGGAGTGGTTTGGTGGAGGGCCCCAGGCAGACTTGAGGCTTCCTAAGCCAACCCATTGCAGACAAGCAGGCTTCGGTAGACTGCTACTGCTTCTTTTTCTTAGGCCTACCCAAATTACCGCCTTCTAGGGGGGAAATAACATCTTTGCTACATTTCTCGTTGGTGTTCCTATCTATCAACAATGTGTAGCACTTGGTTATTTCTAGAAGCAAGACTGTCATATACTCTGAAGAATGAAATTCATCCTTCCCTTTTTCTTTTTCTTTCTTTATTTTGTTTCCGTTTCATTCTTTTTTATCATTAATTTCCTTTGTGTCGTTTTCTTTAAATTTTGCATTTATTTTTCAGTTCTTTAATTCCTTAAAATCTATTTTCTTTCCTTCATTTATTCTTCTTTGTTTAATCCGCCTTTTTTTTTTCTTTAATTCTTTCTATGACCCTTTCGTTTATTTCCTCCCTTCCTTCCTTACATTTCTTTCTTGATAATTCTTTCTTTTTTTTTCATTCATCTCTTAATTACAATTATGTATCACCCTTTTGGTTCTTTCATTCTTTATTTCCTTCTTCTTTCATTCTTTATTTCCTTCTTCTTTCATTCTTTATTTCCTTCTTCTTTCATTGTTTATTTTCTTCTTTTTTCATTGTTTATTTTCTTCTTTTTTCATTGTTTATTTTCTTCTTTTTTCTTCTTTATTTCCTTCTTTTTTCTTCTTTATTTCCTTCTTTTTTCTTTATTTCCTTCTTTTTCTTCTTTATTTCCTTCCTTTTTCTTTATTTCCCTCTTTCCTTCCTTCTTCTTTCCCTCTTTCCTTCCTTCTTCTTCCCCTCTTTCCTTCCTTCTTCTTTCCCTCTTTCCTTCCTTCTTCTTTCCTTCCTTCTCCTTTTCTTCCTTCTTCTTTCCCTCTTTCCTTCCTTCTACTTTCCCTCTTTCATTCCTTCTCCTTTCCTTCCTTCTTCTTTCCCTCTTTCCTTCCTTCTTCTTTCCCTCTTTCCTTTCTTCTTCTTTCCCTCTTTCCTTTCTTCTTCTTTCCTTCCTTCTCCTTTTCTTCCTTCTTCTTTCCCTCTTTCCTTCCTTCTTCTTTCCCTCTTTCCTTCCTTCTTCTTTCCCTCTTTCCTTCCTTCCTTCTTTCCCTCTTTCCTTCCTTCTTCTTTCCTTCCTTCCTTCTTTCCCTCTTTCCTTCCTTCTTTATTTAGTTTTTCATTATTTTTCCTTCTTTTTGGACTTTTCTCTTTCTTTTCTTCTTTAATCCTTTTTTCTTCTTTGTTTCATTTCCATTCTTCTCTTCACTTTTTCTTTTCTCTCGTCTTCCCTCTCTTCCTTTATTAACATTTGTTTTCCCTTTTTTCATTCATTTCTTACACTCTTTCATGGTTTTGTTTATTTCCTTCCACCTTTCATTCTCATGTCTTTTATACTTTTTTCTTAATTTTTTTTATTTTTTCCTTCCATCCTCTTTTCTTTACTACCATTATTTTATTTCTTTTTTTCATTTACCTCTTTTTCATTCCTCTAGTTTTTTTTATTCCATATTTCTTTTTTCCTTCCACCTTCATTCCTTTTTCCTTTCATTTTTCTGTCTGTTTAAATTCTTTCCTTCTGACTTTCCTTCCTTTTACTATCATCTTTGTTTTTTCATTTTTTACTCACTTCTTGTATTTTTTCATTGTTTTGGTTCTTTCTTCCCATTTTTCTTTCATTGTTTAATTCTCTTTTCTTTCTTTCTTTAATTCTCTTTTCTTTCTTTCTTTAATTCTCTTTTCTTTCTTTCTTTTTTAATTGTATTTTTTTCCTCAATTCCTTCTTTCTTTCATTTTTTGTCTTTACTCTTATTTTTGTTTTTTCTTTTTCATTCATTTCTTAAATTATACTTTTATATTGCATTGTTTTTTTTTCCTTTTCTTCTTCCTTAATTACTTTTCTTTTCTTTCTTTCACCCTGTTTCTTCTTTTAATTCACTGTTTCTTTTTCATTAATTCAATTTTTATTCATTTTTTTCCTTCTGCAAATACTTTCTTTCATTTCTGTCGTTACTATTGTATTTCTTTTTCCTTCATTTCTTAATTATAATTTTATATTACTTTGTTTTTCTTTTCCTTCCTTAATTCATTTTTCTTTCTTTCTTTCACCCTGTTTCTTTCTTTTAATTCACTTTTTGATACATTTTTTTTCATTCTGCAATTCCTGCAATAAAAAACAAACAGTAAAGACAGAAATGAAAGAAGGAATTCATTTTCTACCTCTCACTTCCTTTCTTTCTTTTATTTTACTTTTTCTTTCTTCAATTTACTTTCTTTCTGCAAATCTCTTTTCTTTCTTTCCCAAATTCCATCTTTATTTCTTTTTTTCCAGAATTCCTTCTTTCTTTCTTTCCTTAATATTATCTTTATTCCTTTACATTCAGCTCTTAATTATACCTTTTATTGCTTTGTTTGTTTGTTTTTTTCGTTTTACTTTCACTTATTGACCTTTATTTATTTATTTATTTTCCTTATTGCTTAAGCAAAAAAGGCAAATTTTCCAAGACTTTGTTTCCATTTCTTGGCAGGATTATTTTAATTAGTTTACATTTTTATAATTTTTTTGTTTTTTTGATTTTTGGTTTGTTTGTTTTTTTTGTTTGTTTTTTTTTGTTTTTTTTCATTCAAATACAAATCTCTTTTTCATTCATTTCATCTTCATAATTCTCTTTCTTTCTGTCTCTATCCTTTTATTTTTATTGGCCAATATTTTTTTTTTGTTTTCTACATTCTCTCTTTCTTTTTGTGTTTTCTTTTTACTCTATCTTTCCAACCCATTTTCTGTTTTGTTTTGTTTTTCTTTTCTCCTCTCTCAATTCACTTTCTGTCTCTTTTTTTAACCTCTTTTTTGTCTTTTTTCCTCTATCTTCCCTTCTCATTTTTTCTTCTCTATCTTGTTCCATTTTTCTTTCTTCTTTTTCAGAATCCATTTCTCTTTCTTTTCTTTCCTTCCCATTTCTAACTTTTTCATCCTTTTACCATTTCTCATTTTCTTTTCATTTCTCATTCTTTTCTCTTCCTTTTTCCATTTCTCATTCTTTTCTCTCTTTCTCTTTCCATTTCTCATTCTTTTCTTTTCCACTTCTCATTCTTTTCTTTCTCTTTCCATTTCTCTCATATTTCACTTTCTCATTTCCTCTTTTTCATTTTCTCTTACTTTTTGTCTTCATTACTATTATTTCATTCTTTTTATATTTCTTTCTTCTCTCTCGTTTTTCGCTTGTTTTCCTCTTTCTTTGTTGCCTCTCCATCTTGCTTTTCTTTCTCCATCCTATTTTCCTTTCTTTCCTTTCCTTTCTTTCTTTCTATCTTTCTTTCTTTCCTTTCTTTCTTTCTTTTTCTTTCTCCATCTCGTTTTTCTCTCTCTTTTTCTTCTTTCTCCATCTCGTTTTTCTCTCTCTTTTTCTTCTTTCTCCATCTGGTTCTTCTTTTTCTTTCTCTCACAATAACATGATGAACAAGAGCCTCCATGCCAGCAACAATGGTTCATAATACAGTAAGATCTAGTACTATGTTATAATAATGATAATATGAATTTGACGTTCCAAAAGTAATGCCACTTATTTATTTACATAAAAACCTGAATATACAGTGTAACCCGGATATAAGAGAAACCCGGATATAAGAGAGATTTTCTCTGGTCCCAAATTAGAGCCTGTGTTAATGTATATAAAATAGACCAAACCCAGATATAAGAGACTTCTTCTCCGGTCCCGACAATTCTCTTATGTCCGGGTTACACTGTATACAGAAAGCAGAATGACACCGTTGGATAGACCAAGTTTTCAGCTACAAAAACACTATTCTTTCACATGACCAGCAACATTATGATCAACAATAGCCACCATGCCAGTGTTGGTGTCCATATCTTAAAACCATCTCTTTATCCTTAGCGAACGTTCATATTGCTACGGATAAATAAACCAAGCAGAACTGAATTTTGCTAGCATTTTTAATCATAGCATTTTATTTTCTGCTTGAAATAGACATGGCTTTCAGCCATATCCTGTTGAAACATGGGTTCCCATACAATCACTAAAGTTAAGCAATGTCCATCCTGGGTAGTACCTAGATGGGTGACCACTTGGGAATACCAGGTGCTGTAAGCTTGGATGTATGGTGATGTAATGGATAACTACTTGGAATTAAAAATCGGAAAATTGTGTTCCAATTCCAGTCAAGTTCATTATATTCACTTATGCACAGATGACCTTCGGAAAAGCATGAATCCACCTCTTCTTTCCTACCCCAGCTATGGATTAATTAGTAAGACCTGTATCCTAAAAACAAAAAAAAATCCTTACAATCTAAAAATGCTTTCTGGCTTTAAATAACTTGTAAAAGTTTGATCAAATCAGTCAATGAAATAGTCATCTCACTTTCTCTCTCTCTCGTTTTTATTTAACAATGTTTATTTATTTTCAAAATTAAATTTATCTTCTGAGTAATCAAATTCTGTCTCTTCATTTCATTATTGAAAATTCAATTGTGAAAAATGATTTTATATATATATGTATGTATGTATGTATGTATGTATGTATATATATATATATATATATAATTATTATTAATAAAAGCAAAAAAACAAAATGCAATAATATCAACTATGAACATAGACACAATATGTTGACTGTGTTTTGAAAATAAAACATTCTATAATGCTAAATACATACAACAATCAATTTCCAGTTAACAGTAAATATGATTTATCCTTGATAATGGCCAAAAGTATAGTCAAAAGTGCTTGGAATAATTGAACATTTGGACAGTTTGTATAATTTATCTACAGAAAAGAAAAAAATTATAAGTTCATGAGAAAATATATAAAAAACTTAATCAAAGCACCTTGTCTGTCATATTTAATGAAGCATGCATGAAAGAAGGATTGCTGCCTAAATATTCTTCACGCCTCTAAGTTGACAAAGCTAACAAATCCTGTTGGCAGGAATAGCTATTTGAATGAGGTAAATTTGAATTTCTATTCTATGTAATATATATATAATGAAATGGACAAAGTCCGACAATTATTTCAAGACATTTTTATGTTTATACATTCTTTTTATACATAAAAATATTTAAGTAAATGCTCTGTTTATAATAAACAGTATTAAATCACATTTACCGGCCTGAATGTCCAAGAAATTATCATAGAAAATATTTGTACTCCAACAGGGATCAAGCCTGTATACAATATGGAACCGTCATATAGCCCGACGTGCCTTTAACAGATTGGGCCACAGAGGAGCGTTTGGTTAGCAAGGTCGATTTACAAGGAAGATTGTAGTTTAAAGACAGTAAAATCGACCATGCTAACCAAATGACGGTTCCGTATAGGATACAGGTTCAATCCCTGTCAGAGGACGAATATTTTCTATGAAAATTTCTTGGACATTCAGGCCGGTAAATGTTGTTTAATACTGTTTATTATAAACAGAGCATTTACTTAAATATTTGTATCTATAAAA